CGCGCTTGCTCTCTCTCATACAAATAAAGAAATAAAACCTTTAAAAAAAAAAAAAAAAGAAATGAAAGATGGAGAAGAGTATACAGGCTCTTAGCTGCAGGCCCCAAGCTGTTCTGGGGCAAGGCTGGGGGAGTCCTTCCTAAATCTTCCCCTCTTCAGAGATTTCCAGGCTGCCTGCCCACTCATGCACCTGCCATGGCCTACCTCAGCCTCCACCATCCTCAGCGGGACCAGAGGGAGCTTTGCAAAATGCAAATCACACCCTACTGCTCCCCGGCTTCAGGACCTCCAGAGGCTTCAAATCTCAGGGTAAGCCCCAATCCCTCCCCCTGCTCCCCCAGGCCCCAAAAGGTGGGTGTTGTCACCATCCACCCCGGGCCAGCACACCCCCTCCTGTCACCCTCCACTCCTCAGGGGCCCCCAGAGGTTTGGTTCGACGTCCACCTTCTGGACACTCAGCATTCCCTGACCAACTGAAGTCCCCCCGCCGCCCCTTGCAAGCAGCACTGCACCTGCCCCAGCCCTCCGATGTCTGTCCTAACTTCGGACCCTCCAAGTGAAGGGGGGTGTCTCTCCTGCCTCTGACTGGCCGCCCCCAAGTCCAGTGGCTGCTTGCATGGGCCCTGCCTTCCTGTCCCCTAGCCAGACAGAGGCTGCAGCTCCAGCCTCAGGCCCACGGCCCGTCCCCCAGGCAGAGGCTCACGGACGGCAGCCCAGCAGACACCCGAATGCCACCCCATGAGCCGAAAACACAGCTCCTGGAGCCGTGCCCAGTTCCCACGGGTGACAGATGAAAGCCAAGCTGCGACCTGGGGTCAGATTTGTCTTAAGGAATAATTACATACAAAGGCACAGATTTTGCATTTGAACAGTATGCACCTGTGTAACCCACGCCCCAGTCAGGACCCAGAACATTCTCATCCACACCAGGAGCACCCTCTCTCCAGTCTGAACACACTCCCTGCTAGGGCAGGGGGAGGCTCAGGGGACCAGCCTGCTAGGCCCCAGGAGGCAGCTAGTATCAGCAAGGCCACTGCCCTCACCGCCCCCTAGCTCACCTCAGGCTGTGAGCTGCGCCCCACAGAAGGCTGCGTCCCCGATGCCTGGCCAGCTTACCAAGGGGCCAGATCTGCGCAGAGCCTTCTGGAAACAAGCCTCACGGACACATACAGGCAGGTGTGGGCCCACGAGGCAAAAAGAGCATTCCAACCCCATCTTCACCACAGACTGTGTGCCGTCCTTCTGGCAAATGTGACAATCGTCCGTGCAGATTCCTCTGGTACCAGCTGCTCACCTCCAACCCCAGGCCCATCCTTCCCTCTGTCCTCTCTTCTTCCCTCCCAGGTGTCACAGGGCTGCCCGCTGCCCTCCATCTCCCCTCAGCAGCCCTGCCTCCAGCCTGGGGGACACAGTACACCCTCTCCTGGGCCTCCGTCCCCCACAGCCCACCGGCAGCCAGAGTCTGCGATCCCCACCCTGCCTTAAACCCATCAGCACCCCCCGCTGCTGCTCCCAGGTTGAAGTCAAGACCCCTCTTGCCGGTCAAGGGGCTGCACGATGCAGCCCTGCCCTTCCCACACCTCTCATCTCGCATGGCCTCTCTGTGCTCTGGCCAGACCTCCTGTGGGCCTCCTTGGGCCACCCACACTCGCTCGACTTTCTTGTGCCACAGGGCCTTTGCACATGCAGTTTGGTCCTCCCAGAACACCTTTTCTCTCGGCTTTGCCTTGTTAACTCTTGGTCAGCTTCTCAGGCCTTGCCCTGCAGGCAGGCCTCTGTATCTTTCAGGGCAGCTGAGGACACCTACCCCTACCCGCAACCTGGGGAGGTTCAGGGAGACTCAGCGTCTTGCTTAGGGCCGCACAGCTCACAAACTTGAAACCCCTCCGGGAAGTCACCACCCATCTTCGGGCCACAACACGCCTGTTCCCTTCCTTCCTCTTTCTGCCGGTTCTCCCGGTTTCTCAGCCATCTCTGTAGACATGGGGGGCCGGGCCTAGGGCCCTGGCAGCCTGGGGAGGGCATACACCACCCAGCTCTTGATGGAGCCTCAGACAGTGAGTCTCCATGCAGTCACGCAAGTCTTTCAACTCCAACAATGCTGGACACTTGAGGGCACGAGCTCTGGTTGGAGCCTCAGCTCCGGGACACTGCACCACCGGCTGTGCCTCAGTTTCTCTGGGTGACAAGGAGAATGACAGCCAACTCCTTAGTGCACATTATCCCAGTGCACCCTCAGCAACCCTGAGAGGCAGATGTGTATCTTTTACAGATACGGAAACTGAGGTAGCCTCCAAGACGGCTCCCAACGATTCCGGCCTCCTGGCACCAGCCGCTGTGTAGTCCCCTCTCTTCACGTGGGCTGACCTAGCGACTCACTTCTGATGAAGAGAGCACAGCAAAAACGATGGGACGCCCCTCACAAGAGTAGGCTGGTTTAGGGCTGGTTCAGGGACAAAGACGCACCTGTTGTCGAAGAAGGCACGGATGATTTTGGATCGGATTGGGTTGAGCTCCAGGTCAGGGACGTTGTTGAAGTTCTCCTTGCTGGGTCCCAGGAGGGAGAAGCACCGGGAAAAGAGAGAGGGGAAAAAAAGCCAAGGTCACATGGCATGTTCACCGCTTATCAGGCTGTATTTCTTAGTCCCGAGCAAGTCCAATGAGAATCGTCCAGAGACAAGACTGGAATACACTGCATTGATGTGCAACCTTGGACCACTAGGAGCTGGGAGGATCCGAAGGCTCCAAGACGCTCTGTGTCCTGGACATTCACCCCCAGAAAAATGCAGAGACACGAGGTGTGTGCCTCCTTATGAGGGGTCAGAGGCCACCTGAGGCCCATCACAGACCCCAGGTGAGGAGACCCTGCTTTGGCCAATCTGGAATTGGGGCAGCAGGCTGTTGGCCCGGAGACTGGAGACAGTCTGGCAAGTCCTCAACGGGTGGAATGGAGAGTTAGCATGGGCCTTGGCGCTTCCACGCCTACAAATGCATCCACGCAAGAACGGGTACACGGACGGCATAGAAGCATTATTCGTAGTAGCCGCACAGCAGAAACTTCCCAAGTGTCTGTCAACTGAGTAGACAATTTGTGGTCCATCCAGACGATGGAGTATTATTCAGCCATAAAAAGGAAGGAAGTAGGGATCCACACCGCAACACAACTGAGCCTCGAAAACATTGCATGTGCTGAGTGAAAGAAGCCCGGCACCAAAACTACACAGTGTCGGATTCCATTTACACGAAATGTCTCGAACAGGTGGATCCATAGAGACTGAATGGAGACCAGGGGCGCCCAGGGACCGGGGGCGTGGGAACTCTGGGGAGGGACTGCTAAGGGTACCAGGCTTCTGTAGGGGATGATCAAAAGATTCAGAAATTGGGCGCCTGGGTGGCTCAGTTGGTTAGGCGACTGCCTTCGGCTCAGGTCATGATCCCGGAGTCCTGGGATCGAGTCCCGCATCGGGCTCCCTGCTCAGCGGGGAGCCTGCTTCTGCCTCTGACCCTCCCCCCTCTCATGCTCTATCTCATTCTCGCTCTCTCAAATAAATAAATCTTTAAAAAAAAAAAGATTCAGAAATTGACTGTGGGGCTGGACGCACACCTTTGAGGGTACTAGAAGCCATGGAATTGTACATTTTAATGGCAAATCGTATGGTAGGTGAACCCTATTTCTGTAAAGCTGTTCGGGGGGGAGGGGAAAAGGTGCTGGCTTGGGGGCAGAAGAAGGTGAATTTCAATCCCAGCCACCCTGTCACTGCACACAGGTACCACTGGGTGGGGGACAGGCTGCGGGTCCGCAGGGAAGGAGGCCCTTGCCCACTCGACCTTCCCACAAAAAGCCATCCTTTTCTCTCAGAATCTGCTTCCTAGTTTTTCTTCTGTCCCATGGACTTCAAGGGGCAGTGGCCTCGGAAGGGACCCAAGGCCCAGGCTGGTAATCCCAGGGAGCAAGGATGCACGCCCAGGCAGCGGAGGTGGAAGGTCGTCAGACACTTGAGATGAGTGTGTCCAGGGGTGGGCTAGTCAACAGATTTGGGGCTCAAAACTTGAACAAACGCATGCCGGGAAGGAGGCAGTGCCACGTACACAGAGAGCTAAACACTGTCTGGGTTGGAAGCTTCCAGCAGAAGCACAGGACTGACCCCTGTCCTGTCCCCCACCTCCCAGAAGGGAAAGGGGAGCCTGGCTCGGATGCCCAGACCCCTCCGTGAGCCCATGGCCACCTCCACGCTCCTTCCCGTCCGCCCCCCACCCCCGCCCACGGCTCCCGGTGGGACTGGCTCGGGGGAGACGGGGGGGTCACCTGGCCAAACTCAGGAGCCAGTGTCCGTGGACACCATGCTTCAGATTCCTCAGATCCCAGGTCTGAAGAAGGCGCACACTCAGAACAGTTGCCCGGGGTGATGGAATACTATTTGGTCGGAAAAAGGATCGCAGTGTTGATGCACGCTACCATGTGGACGACGCTCGAAGGCAGGTGCTGAGCGGAAGACGCCGGACACAAACGGCCACATCTTAGGGGATCCATTTATCTGCCATGACCAGAACAGGCCGATTCATGGCAGATCCAGAGACAGAAAGCAGACTGCTGGCTGCCGGGGGTGGGGTCATAGAGGGGTTGGTGGCTAATGGGTATAGGGTTTCATGGCAGGGACGGGAGAGGGGGTGATGAAAAGGTCCTCAGGGGCGCCTGGGTGGCTCAGTCGGTTAAGCGACTGCCTTCGGCTCAGGTCATGACCCTGGAGTCCCGGGATCGAGTACCGGATCGAGTCCCGCATCGGGCTCCCTGCTCAGCAGGGAGTCTGCTTCTCCCTCTGACCCTCCCGACCCTCCCCCCTCTCATGCTCT